AAATAGTAGCACTATTAAGTATTAACATAGTCCATATACACATATACATGTATAAAAAATGTATTCAAATCAAATCGAATATAGAATTTGTACCATACAACTGGATGTACTAATTATTAAAAGGCATATAGAGCTAATAATATTTTTTTGATCATATTATTGTAATACTCGTTCGGTTGATCTATCAATGTATTGAGTATTGACTATTATGATTTATGAATGAACATTGAATATGATTCTTTCCCTTTCTTGTATTTATATTTATAAAGAAAAATGTACAACTAAAACAAAACATATAATTGATTATTATGGAATTCTAAAGAAAAACTTCATAATAGCATAAAGAATGTCGATAGACATTTATTAATATGTATGTTCACTTTAATTTTTTTTAATAACGAGCAAAATCATTTCAAGTAAAATCTTCATTAATGGATTGTTGGTACTTGGGAAGCGGACCAATTGGACCAGCTATCTCTAGGTTTTTTTATTTGCCTTTTAGTGTTATTTCCTTTGTCCACTTTTAATTGTGATGTTGCGTTTTTGAAAATCAATTTAATTAATTGAAAGTTAAATTAGATTACATTAATTTGATATTTTTAACAAAAAAAAAAAAATATTCAAAAACTATACGAAAAGTACTATGAATTTCAATTTTTTGTCTATCAATATGATGAAAAAATAAATCGTAAAATGTTAGTCAAAATTATTATCGTTTGACTCTTAAAAAAAAATATGACAATTAAAAATGGACGGAGATAGTACACTTTTAATTTGGATGATTTAAAAGCGTAAATAGTTGGTGTCATGCAAGTTGTACTTGGAACGTAAAATCTTTGTAGAAGTTCAACTCTTACCAAACTCTATAATACTATGACTCTATCTTATACTTATCATATAATATAATATTTGATAATGATATGATATATCCATCTCGTAATTAGACAGCAAAAACTAACTATACACGGAAACGGTACACATGTTCATCTTACCAAACCCCTTATTTTTGAAATTATCATTATCGTCTTGATACGTGGTACTCATATATTAATTACTATTGACGAGAGGGAGTTGTTTGGATGGTAAGCACCCTTCACTTTCAACCCGAAGGTTGCGAGTTCGAGTCACCAAGGGAGCAAAAGGGGTGGGAGCTCTTAGGGAGGGTAAAAAAAAACATATATTAATTACTACTCCCTTCGTCTTATTTTATATGTCACTTTTTTACTTTGCACTTGCATTAAGAAATGATGTAACTTTACCCTTTTACCCTTATTTAATTTTTGGAACTCAAGTTTTCAATCAATGAATATGAATTAATTTATTTTGATTAATTAATTTAAACCAATGAACATGAATCATTTAATTAGCTTTTCTAAGTTGGTCAAATGTATATTTTCAAGGCTAATAACTCATAAAGGGTAAAAAAAGGAACAATATGGTAATTTATGCATTGATTTTATGAAATGACAAGTATTATGAATCAATTATTTATAAAAATGGATGACATATAAAATGAAACGAAGGGAGTACTACCTATATTTTCCCACTGAAGTCTAAGAACCAAGTCATTACGAAACTACTTTTTTGGTCACGTAACAACTTTTAGGAAATATAATTTGATCAAATGTGTTGTCATTTTCTCTTTCACTGAAATAGAATGACACAAAAGTCAGGAAGGAAGTTATAAGAGGAAAAGTCGGTTATCCAATTAAACTTCTTTTAAGGATAATTTTTTGGTATTCTCACGTTATAAACGTCATTTTAGTTTTATTTAAAAATAAAAATAATAATTATACTATTTTAGAAATTTGAATTGATCTTTTTGTTTTCAACTATACTCATAATGTTAAAGAATAATATATTGTATTTAAGAAGAAATAATATGCGGAATATAAGGTAAAATGATGCACCTTAACTTTTTCACCAGGTAAGATATGTGATATCTCTCAATAACATAAGTGAACTATTTTATCGAGTATCGCCAAACCTTGTTTTAATGTTAGCATTCTCCACAACTGATTTTCATATTATATTTACTTTTTACTAACAATATTCTACTTATATATCATTGACATTCATTATAACAATATATTTTTTTTTTGTAAAATTATTCCTCCATAACAAGCATACTCAATTATTGTGTAATGATATTTGTAAGAAATATATTATATATAAAAATAAAATATTAAAATGTATATAGCAATGTCATTCACAAAGTAAATTTCAAAGTATAACTATTTAAAAAGAAGAAATTGTATTTAAATGGTGTCTATCGATTATGGTCATAACTCATAACTGATGTTTACCTTTTTACATTCATATTCTTTCAATTTTTTAGGTTAAATTGGTTTAAAATGCATTCGTTCTTCTCCATACACAAAATCATTAAATTAATTTTTTGTGTACTTTTGCATATAACAACTAAATAAAATCTAAATGTCAAATATCAGTATACATATATAATAACATTTCACAATAACATTCATAATATTTTCAAACAAACCCCATCATTATAACAAAGTTTGACTGTACATAACCAAAAAAATAATCCAATATTTTTCTTTTGTCTCCATTAGAATTTAACTATGATATTTGAGATTTATACTTTTTTCATCCGCTATTAAATCACACTCTTAATTACCACGATAATTTAATACAAATCAAAATACCATGTTACAGAATTCAAATTGTGTACCCTCGTGAAAAATTTGTCCAAAGTACCACAAAAAGATAACTATTCGTCCAATTGAGTCTTCATCATTGTTTATTATTAAAGCCGGTTGGTTGTATTATCACGAGTCAACTAGTTACGTTAATTAATTGTCAACTTTTTACTCTATCCTTTTTAAAAAAATTATTTATATATAATCATATGACATTACTTATTGATCTAATTAATTCAGATTCACGCCTATTAAACGCGGAAACGGTCTTTTGTGGTATAAAAGAAAAAAAAAGAAAAAAATGATCATTAAATGGCCAAAGCTCAGCCATAAATCATAATATAGGTAGATAGGAAATGTTAAAGGATTGGTATTTAGCAAACCTGGTTGTCATTTGTCAAAGCTAGCTCCACGAAACAAATTTGTGTTCAAATTCTTTACACATCTTATGAACAAACAAGTCCCACCAAACTCTGTTGACTAACAGTAATCAAAACCCCACCAACACAAGTTGCTACACAACCCTCATTTATTAAAATGTTACTCGGAAATAATTATCAAGAAACAACACTACACCAGAGGAAATTATGGCGTATTATATTTTTAAAGTTATGTTTTGCGATGTACTTAGTAAATTCTTACAAATAAATTAATGCTCCACATTCAAAATATTGGATTCAGATGAACCTGATAACCAGAGGCGCAATCAATGTTTGAACCTTCAAAGTTTTAGATTCTAATCTTTTTAAGTTATCGATTTTAAACTAACACACTCTCTCAGGAGCGGATCTATTCAGGCGGATGGGGGTGCCATGCCACCCACCAGCTTCGACGAAAACTTTTTATATATAGGTATATATATATACACAATCTATATAAAAAATAATAAATCCGCCACCCACAGTACCAAAGTACTCTGTGGTGCCCGTGGTAAAAGGCCAAATGTTTGAGCCCCGTTTGACACATTTTCTTTTTTTTCCTTTTTAAAACTGTTGGCACATTCAAGGCTCCTCTCATAAATCATAATAGCTTTTCGACCTTTCTCTTTTTATTTTTTTCTTTTTTACCATTGTTTCAAATTATTTGCTACTTTCTTTATCTTTAAATAATTTTATAAGTATGAAATTTAGCCTAATTCATCCTACTCCTAACATTAGATATTAATTTTCTATCCTATATTAATTATTTACATTTTACTAAAAATAGTTATTAAAAAATATTTGTCAATTAACAAAATTAAACAACAATTTTTTTTTTTATTTTCATTATCCTAACAATTAATTTTTCTTGAAAGTGTAAACAAAATCTGTAAAAAATTACAAAAATGTTTATCTTAAAGATT